TAGAATTAATTTAATATTGCTTTTTTTCATTTCACTGTCAAGGCATCTTAAACGTTTTTTTCCTTTGATTTTCAGTACTTTTGCTCTTCTGCCATTTGCTCTTAGCTCACTTTCTTCATGAAATTTAATTTGACTATAGTCACTTTGAATAGCTACTACTCCTATTATAACAAGTATATTTACTATATATAACTATAGTTTATTAGATATTTGTTAATATTATATTTGTAAGTCATTTTTTGGTTACATCTTCTATTTTACACTATTCTTTCTTCTTTAGAAATGTATCTTATGTTTTGTAAGTTTCCATAAGACCTCTAATACAGTATCCTTAATTGAATATATGGGTGCTAAGTTACTGGCTGATGGAACATTATCTTAATTATCTTTATAGCTTCTTGAAGGTGTTCAGTTTTTCTTTGAAACAGTATTTATTTATGGTAGTCTTTGGGATAGTCCACTGGTAAATTTCCCAGTGATTCTTGGAAGTTTTATTCCCAAATTCAGCTATCAGTTTATTTGGTTTATCCAGTTTCCACCTAGATAGGTCTCAGGTGGATTAAGATGTTCCTCATTGTCAGACTCTTAATCAAGGTCAGCAAGGTTTTAGGGATACCAAAATGTTGCCCCACTGCATTCAGTCCTAACCCTACATGCATCTAATTATTGGACTCGCCCAAAGTGGGTGGACTAGAAGTGTAGGTAGTATGACTGTACAGAATTGAGGCTGAAATAGTCCAGTGGCCAATAAACACTGTTGAGTAGATTTTTTCAGGTCTAGAAATCTAAAGTTAAAATTGTTACCACTAAACTTGTGAATTGGATTTTGGCTTTTCCTATCCTGGTGATCTTGTTTACTTTAGGATGGCAATTCAAAATATCTTCTTAGATTTGGTCTTTATACTGAGACTCGGTGCTAGAACTGTTTGAATTGTTTTGTGGGAGATGGGTGATGAGAAAACCCAGGACATTGGATTTGGGGGTAAATTGAACTCTTAGTCCTTACCCTCTGCCTTTGCCTGAATGACTATTTTTATATTCAACTGTGCAAAGCTTGATTTAGAAAAAATAACATATATAACCATGAGGCTCCTGCCACTTCCTTTTTGATGATATTGCAAGTGATGAAAATTGAAACCAGCTTAGCCATTACATTATATTTATGGAAGTCATGGGACTTTGAACATATTCTTTGAAAGGTATCTCTTATGTGACTCCATTTTTTTTGTACTCCCTACAGCAATTTGCATTTGATAGCTCCTCTGTAAATAGTTGTTGAGGACATGCTAATGGTTTCTTTGCCCTCCACAGCAGTCCTTGAGGTATACTGTTGGCCTTCAGTGTTGCCAGTATTCAGAAAGTAGGAGATGTCAGTGCCCTCAGTTGCCAGCATCTGTGTACAAGCTCTTCTTCCTTGTCTCAGTCTTTGTCAGTTGGCAAGAAAAAAATTGAAAAGTGATGGACGATTCTTTTCATTATAATTCTTCCTGAACACAGTATTTTATCTAGCAGTGTTACAGAGTTGCTAATGGTTGAGGGAAAAACTCAAATTTCTGTTATTTTTATCAATTCAACCTTAATAACTTTTTTGAGGCTCTCTTTACTTATCTGAAGTTCGTATTATTACCTTGATTTCTCTTGCTGATTCCTTTTCATCTCCCTTATTTCTAAATTTTGAAGTGCCCAAGAATCAGTCCTTGGTTCTCTCTTCTTTTCTGTCCCATTATCTCTAAGAGTGATCTCATCCAGTCTTGTGGCTTTAAATACATCTGCATGCTGATGGCTCCCAAATCTATCTCTGGTCACCCACCACCTGTTCCTGATCTCCAGACATGTATATGCAGCTGCCCACTTGACATGTCTAATAGGCATCCCTAACTTAATGTGTCTCTGCCTGAGCTCTGATGGTCCCCACAAACCAGCTTCTCCTGTAGCCTTCATTATCTCAGTTAATGCCCACTCCATTCTTCTAGCTGCTTGGGGCAGAAACCTTGGTGCCATTCTTGACTCTTCTGTTTGTCTAACACCCAACATCTGGTCTATCAGCAATCCTGTTATCTCTGTCTCCAAAGTGGATCCAAATATGACCATTTATCACCATTCCCTTGCCACCATCCTCTGCCTGGTTTATCAAAGTAGCTTCCTGGTGGTCTCCCTGCTTCTGCCTTTGCTTCCCTACAGCCTGCTCTTAGCACACAGCCAGGGGAACCTGTTAAAATTTCTATTTATTGTAATTTTCTGTTGAAAATCCTCCAATAGCTTCCCATCTCAACCAGAGAAAGGTTACAGTGACTGTTAACCTACGGGAACCTCTGTGATCTGACCCTCCATTATCTTTCCACACTCGAATCCTACTGTTCTCTTACTTGTTCACTCTGTTCCAGCCACATGGCCTCTTTCCTGTTCTTTGAACATGCCCTTCCTTTCACATCAGAACCCTTAAACTTGCTGTTCACTCTGCATAGAACACTCTTCCTGCTGATAACAGCAAAGCCAGCTTTCTCATTTTCTTCGGATTTTTTTACTCACTGAAGCCTTCCCTGGCCAACTTACTTATCTTGTTTTCCTATCTCCTGCACTGCAATGTAAGCTTCCTGAGGGTGGGAATTTTGCCTTGTTTTGTGCTGCAGAATTCTTTGCACCTAGAAATAGTGCCTGGCACATAGTAGATGCTCACACATTTGAAAATGATTGAATAAATGAATGAATGAGTGAATGGTCCGAATTCTCATAATACCTCTTTAAAAAGAAAACAGCTAACATAGCTCCCCTAAATATATAGTCATATTGAAAGAAAGAAGTGTGGAAAGATTGAAAGATAGCTGGATGGGAAGTAAGAAAGATATGGAAAAATAATTCTAAGTATCTGAAATACAGAGCAATCCTTTAAATGTATGAATAGCAGTACCACATTATTTAAAGAACTACTTTGGTAATTTTCCATGGAGTCAACAAACAATAGTTACCACCGTCAGTAGGAAACAGAGTTTAATGTCTAACAGCATTGTGAACCAGGAGGTACTCTGCTCTGAATTAAGAACTGAAACAAACATTTCAGATATCCCTGAGTCATTACATAATTCAAGAAGGGTAATAGCACATCTTGGTTTGCCAGGAACAGTCTCAGTTTAACTGTATTGTTAATTATTAATAGGGTAGGTTTTTTTCCCTCTAAAGGGTCCCAGTCTGGATAGTAAGTTATAGTGGTACCTTGAAGTTAAGGTATTTGCTTCAGACTAGTGGTAGTAGCATATATTGAAATTCATGCATGATAAGAAATCTGTAAATGCTATTGGATATTTATTGAGCATATTTTAGAACTTGAGCTTTTGAGGTTTATGGCTGTCAGTGCTGAAACATGTTAGTCAGTTGAGTAATGAAAATGGTTGAGTAATGTAAGCTGAATCACATTCTTATAGGATAGGCCTTAGCATTTTTAGGGCCACAGACGTCATTGAGAATCTGAGGAAACACTAGGAGTCTACTTCTCTGAAAAACACATATTCAGATTTTATAATTTCAGAAAGTTCATGACTACCAAATTCCTATTCTGGTGGCGAGCTGCTTTGAGACAACACTTTTCAGGGATACTATTGCATGAGTTAGATTATCTGGCAGATAACTGGAACCTTTATAAGAAATTTTCTTTATGCAAATACCAAGTACATATAGAAATGTTTACATAAATGCTGTTATGCTGTATGTATTATTCTACAACTTAGTGTTCGATGTTATTGTACAAAGATATACTTTGTTTTTAAAACTTTGTTGTCTGTATTTTGCAAGTTTTCAAAAAGTCAACATCAAGAAAACAATTTATATGAAAGTTGCTTATATGAAACCTTAAAACAAACAAAGAATACTTCAGGTATCTTAATCAACAACTAAAGTGCATGAGATACATGTCTTACATTTATGGTATAGAAATCCTTACACTGAATTTCTACATAAGCAAAAAAGTAATAAAATTTATACTGATTTGCCAAAATCTTCCCTAAGAAAATTTTTGTGGAAACCTCATCACCCAAATACATGTGCTCTGTGCAGAAATTTTCTTAAATCAATGAAGAAAGTAAGGAAATGCAAAGAAGCAAATAAAAAAATTCTCTACAGTGAAATCACAGTTAATTACTGCTAACTGCATTTCATTTATCTCTTTAGATCTGTACATAAGTTCTGTTCACTTATTTTTACATGGTATTAATCATACTGTATATATACATTTGTATCCTGTATCTCCTTCCCCATTAATATTTAGTATTTAATATTTAAAATTAAAAGTTAATATTTTAACTATTTTTCTATATTGCTTTAGGATAGATTTTCAGAAGAAGAAGAAGAAGAACTAGATCAAAAGTTATGACTACTTAAAAAAATTCTTGATATATCTTGCCATACTGCTTTTCAAAAGTATTGTACCAGTTAATACTTACTTCATCACATCTGTACCTGGATTGGTCAATATGATTTTTAAAATATTTGTAATTACAAAAACAAGTAAAAGGTTCTTCACTGTTTTAATTTGCATTTCTTCCATTTTTAGTGACATTTTTCCATAAAGACATTACTAATTGATTGTATCCTGTTGTGTATTAAAACATATTTTTTTCAGCTTAAAAGACCTCCATTAGGAGGAAAACATCCCCTTTTAAATACAAGTTCAATAGAACACATTCAGCATGTTCAAAATGTGCTGTTTCTTTACTGTAAATACAATCATTTTTAATTAAGGATCAGTCATACAGGTTACCATATTGAAATTACCCTCAAGATATAAAAAATGCTTAATTAATAGGGAACAGTTTTCACAGTGGGGAAATGTGACTTATTATTAAGAAGTACCTACCTATTTGTGATATATCTAACTGTACATATATATCTATATATCTATATATATATCTAACAGTATTATATAATGATTTTATTGAGTGCTAATAGCAGACTAATCAGGAACAGTTAATTTTTATTAAAATAATCTTAAATATTTATTTCTTTTCAAGGTATCATAGACGTCATATGAAACTGAATCCACCAAAAGACAGATGATATTGAGGTTTTCAGAAGTCCAAGAGAAATGTTAACCCTGTGTCTCGTTTGCCATGAGAAAATGCAATCGGGTATATTCACTAATAC